ATGGCTCGGCGGCGGCTCAACAGTCGGACGGTTCTGCGAATCAGTGGATATTGTCGCAAATTGCCGCTTTCGCCGCCCGCTGAATAATGCATGCGATAACATAACATCACGTCGCGCACCCGCCGTCACTCGCCCTCCTCCCCTCCGGCCGCTCCTGCCCCTCCTGCCCCTTGCCGCATGTCCTCCGACACTCACTGTCAACACCAAACTTGTTTACGAGTCATACTCCCTAGGTACTCTAGAATTTGTCGCTACCTAATTAATTTCACCGAACTATAAACCATCTCAAACTCGATGCAATACTTATCCTTCAATCGTTTCTCAAAATGTCTTTGAATCTCATATACAGTATCTTGATTCATTACAATCTTATACAGTCGCGGCATAAATATACATAGGAAAGTAAACGACGAAATTGGTATACTTAGGTTGCACACAAAGGCCGCTAGCTACCAACATTCCATCGAGCGCATTTGAATAGGTATGGGTAGAGTCATGGTGGTCCCTCTGCGCTGGGGCACGGGCTGGCGATGGCGGTAGCGGCGGTTTCCCACAGAGGCGACTCCTCGACCAGTTCGTCGGAATGTGGTCGCGGCACCGGCGCGCACTTTCACCAAAACAATTCGTTGGCGGCCTCTTTCGCCAGCGCGCCCCGCACCGCCCCGCACAGCCCCGCACCGCACCACGGAATCATGAAAATTAACAAATCACTAATACATTATAATCTTCACGAAATGATTGAACATCACTTGAGTTCCTCTTAAATAAGTTCACTTAATGTCGATCAAATCTCCAATATATGGGAATGCGGAATAACTAAGAAATCCCAAAGTTCACTGTAAATTATGACCTTCTATGTCTATTCAAGAAGCAATATTGTGAATTAACGAAGTACCTACATAAACGTTGACCAAATTGCCTAGATTTATGTAAGGAAGGGATGTGAATCACGTTGTCGTCTTTTATATTCTAAAAGTAAATGATAATAATCGGCTTCGGTTTTCCCAAGAGGATTGTCAGCAATACAATACCTACTATACATTTAAATTAAATGCGAAAGTTATATACATAAATAGATTATTGTAAAACTAAGTACAAAAAAGATCATCTAAATCTACGAAAAGCTCATAGTCTGTGAAAACAACAATAAATACTACGTACCGGAAATCGTTAATCTTTTCTATTAAATAAACAGAAAGGTTTTTTAAAATGTTGCAATCATGATAATAGCATTGGACGTAAAACAACTCGCCTACTTGTAGGCAAGGAGCGTTCCTGCCGAAACCGGGTCACTGCCAGCGCAATGTTTATCCCCCGGATGCACAGAATTGGGTCAACATCTGGACATACAAATCGTTGCTACTTCCAAACTATTGCATTACTTCCTTTTTTAGTTCATTGCTCATTCTATAACTTGTATTTACCCGATGATTCGCGGTAAATCTTAGAGATTAACAGAATGAGAACCAACAGTTTGTTGTTTCATTAGATGTTTAGTTTTAATTTCAAGCATTATATATATAAATATATATCTCAATACAGAATAGCTTCAGTTGTTTTCACACATTACTATAATATGATGGTAGAAATGATTGAATGTGATGATAGAAATATATGTTCTTGTTTATCAAATAATTTGATAGTACGAGCTTTAGTTTATCATTTCCTTCATATTTGTAATGTTATATTTGATACTAGGTGTCACCTGAAATTCCGTCCACCCGGAATTTAAAAAAAACTCTATTAGTAGCCTATGTGATATTCCTGACTATGTTCAAAATCTATGCCAAATTTCAGCAAGATCCATGCAGCCGTTCTGGCGTTACCTTCTAACTAACGTCCATCCATTCATCCAAAAAATCTCATTTGTAATATTAGTAAGATCTTGCAATTTGATAATACATTTGATCTTTTATTAGACGGTGTCTTCGATTGACGTCCTGACAAGCATTGAGTATACTTATTCATTCTGTGTTCCCAGGTACGGGCAGTTGTCGGGCATGGTTGAACCTGTGTTTGGCGTGCTCGGCGCGGTCGCGGTGTCTGCTGCGCGGCCCGTGCTGCCCTACGCACTAGCTTTCGCCGCCGGCGCCATGATCTACGTGGTAGCCGACGACATCATTCCAGAAGCAAACGCATCGTAAGTCAAAAACAAATATTCATTATCCTAATAATGACTTTAACGTTGGACGCCAGCACAACAAAAACTGTTGCACGAATTGGTCGGTTCTTTCGGTTCTATCTAATATACTAGGGTGAAGTGAAAGCAATTACGCGTTTCGTCTGATGATGAGTCTCCGGTAGCCTAATTTTATTCTTCTTTCTCTTCACACCCTTTCTCCTTTCTTATAAGAATACGATGGGGGAAGTAGATTTGACGGACACGGGAACGAGTAGGAAGGAATAATATTCTCTTTCCGTGTGTTCCTACCTCGCGCAGCGGTCACTTAGCTTTTTCCTCGTATCCAGAAAGATGTTTTCTCGTTTTCCGCCCAATGCTGCAAGTTCGTTTTATCACGAAAAAATCATAGTAGCATGAAACGTTTTAATGTCTCCCATTATTGACTTGTGTCCCATCATCAAGTGGGAAAGTGGTCAAGCGCTAGCTTATTCAATATAAAAATATACAGTAATCTAATGGTGAATAAACCAATTTCTGTCTTTCGTTCAACAATATACGATGTGTAAAGTTGTATAACATTAAAAGCTAAGTACGGTATTATTTGTAACTTGATCGCTTTTCAGTTGGATATAATAATTGATAATTTACAAAAGATGACTTCGCTGTTAAAAAGTATAATTAAACGCAATCGCAATACACACACAAAATCTTTTAAATCGATAGATATACTTCCTTGAAGCTGGAAGAACGCTTTTGTCTATTTCTGTCTACCTCTATTAAAAAGTGTATGTGCTTTAATTCTAGAAATTATTAGGTTTTAAAGTAATTTTTTACAAATGTAAAATATTTACTTTTGTTCCTCTTATCTTCAAAATTAATCTGAATAACCTAAATATGTTTTAGAAATAGAAACACTAAAAAGTCTAGACGTGATTCAAAAATAAACCAGACGTTCGTTTCCAAATCGCACACTTGTGTGACACGGAGATGTTACGTTACCTTGAGATCGTATGAAGATTTACATTTGTACACGAAATATCAATTGTCCCTAACCCTCGCTGTAACAGCCCTCGTATCCTTCAAAAACACATTCAATTTCAAACTTACCTTTGAATAATAACGACTTGTTTTGTAGATTCTTATCGAAACTTCCTTCATTTGCAAACATTGTCGCGCTGCAAATCTTTAATATTATAGATCCGTTGAGAGACCACATTTACTCCTGTCATTATTAGATTGACAAGGGTACTGATGTGGTTTCATTGTTCCGATTCATTCAGATCTTTCAACTGGCTTCCACATAAACTTAACATGAGCCTTGTTAATGTCACAAAGTTTAATAAGAAGACCGTTATGGTTACGGGAGTACAAAAGTCGGGTATTTCCCCTTAGCAACAGTTCGTCCACCGCTGTTTCGAGGATTCTGTAGATAACCGGTCGTGATTCCCTTGCTGACGTAAGAAGCCGGTCACCTCAAGGATGTTTTGATAAATTGTTTGCACATTATTAAGGGGTATATGAAAATAAAACATTCGTAGTTAACAATTTGCTTGTATGGTGTTCTAAATTGCGTTTTAATCAACATTAATTTCAAATGTAGACAACTGTCGTTTCGTAAAGCAGTAAATTAAAAAAAAGTACATTCATTAACTGCTTCTTTGTATCCAATCATTAATAGATTATTAACAGCCACATCACTACATGATTAGTTTTACACCTTAACCTCTACTTTTGCTAGAGCTGTGTTCACGCTAAGCTCTATGCTTGCAGTAGTCCAGCCGAGACGGCTGCGTTCCTCAGTCTGCATTTTGTGTTCATCGTATATGAATGCGGATGAGTTTAACAGGCGTAAAAAAAATAGTGTTTCGCAATGTGCAAGCGGCACGTGCATGTAGGCGCTGCGCTGCCGCCGTCGTCGCGCTGTAAATACCCGGCCCGAAATACCGACGCCGTCTGACACCCCGGACGCGTCGGCAGCCGGCAGCCGGCACCCTCGACGTCGCCACCACTACTATATAAAGACCGGCCAGACGGCACCGCACCCGCAACCGCACCCGCACCCGCACCGCATATAGTTGTATTGTTGCACAAAACACAATTAATTGTGTACATTTCACTTTGACAATCTTATTCAAACAACTTTTATATGGAATCTATAGTCTGGAAATCTATTTAATACTATTTTTTCTACAAACTTCTTAATAATTTCTGCAATTATAATAGCTACAGAAAAGATTCTTTCAACAAAATTTTGTACATATAACTACTACTACTAACTACTAAACCTCTCACACAATATCAAACTAAAATATGATTGTTTCGTTATGGTATATTGATATATCTGTCCCAAATATGTTGTACCTCGTGGACGCAGTGCACGTGCCTGCCCGCTGCCGCCCGCCGCCCGCCGCCCGCCCTTGCGGCGCTGCTATTTGCAGGGCGGGCGAGGCGCGGTGTCATCGCAGAGCGGCTTTGGCGCGCCGCGCGTGGGTTTGTCACCGTCTCGCCACCTTCAATAATAATAAATATGTGAAATAACGTGTCCGTAGCCGGGATAAGGCCGATGACGCCGCGCTAGTTTGTCTAACCGCCAACGTCACCGTCTGGGAATCCGGCGCGCGCCGCCCGGCTCTCCCTGACCTACCGCCAGATATCCCGATCGCGCCTCCGATCCCGCTCGCGAATATTTACACTGCTCACCGCTCAGCCTCCGCCCGCTCTCCGCAATCCGCACCCCGCGCCACGCGGCCCCGCACCGCCGCCGACCGATTTACTGTTCCTTGTAACGGTCGCGAATTAATAGTATGCTAATAAGCACAATTAGTTCTCTTACTGACCACTGTTAATTTACATTGCATTCTGGGAATTGATACATTGAAATGAATGGATAAAGAGCATGGTTGTGCACGTAAATAAAAAGTCACAAATATTGTGTTTCACTCCAATGAAAGTTCTCAAATGTTTATGCAACCGATTCTCAACAAACAACTTAAGAGATTACGTAATATTTGTAAATTGTAAAACAAACTTTAGAGCGAAAATTCCAACGAGGGCTATTAAATTAAATCATTCCACGTATAGTGAGTCTAAAGTAACATGCGAAAATTCGTTTTCAAGATGTTACTTTTGCCAACTATTAACCATCGAGATTGAATTGTGCAAATATTATAAATAAACTTATATATCGACAAACGAGCAAACGGCCACCTGAATTTGATATAATAGCGAAACGACCTTTACCCATAGACATCTGCAATTGCAGATGCATTGCCTATCTTTAATCGATGGAGGAAAGGACGCGCAATTTATAATGAAATTAGTTAGTGCAAGCTAGACCTTGTACTGACTAGAGTTTTTAAATGAGAACAGAGCTTGAATCAGAATAGGTAAAAAACATGGATCCATAAAGTTAACACGGTCATGTCAAAAACTTGCAATCATCATTTGCAAGTGTCATAAAAACGTTGGCCAAATATTAATTTATATTCCAATCAAGCTCTAAAGGTCTTGTCTAGTGCAATTTTATTACTATAAACATCCTTGGGATTACCCGATTACGAACAATGACATAAATATACACGAAAGCGTTCGGTCGTATGTGTAGAAGGCAATTTAATCAGCTAGCTGATGTAGGAATTATGCATGATTTCAGCGCGTGTCTTTTATTTGTCGTTACTATATGTGATCTGATTAAGAGTGTCGGTGACGCAGATGTTAGGGTCTCGTACATTCGGGGAATAATCTACACTTCCAGGTTCGATCCGCCATGTACCAATGTGTTTTTACAATTTTCGCATTTTATATGTACGTTTATCCGGCGCTCTTACGGTAAAGGAAAATATCGTGCAAAAATCTACAATGAAATGTTTTAACATTTCATTAAAGTGACATTTGTATTGATTAAATTGATGACATTTGGTTTTCATAAAAAAAATTTTTTTTCGCTGATATTTCTTTACGTTGATGTTATTTGATTTGCAATCGATAGGTTTTATTCAACATTCAAAGGTGTTAAAATAATCATCTGACTTTATATGTATGAAAAATTGATTATAAGCGATGTAAAGTGATCGTGTCTAAGAGCAATCGAGCGTTTAGAAAAGAATACAATCGCGCCTAACGATTCACAAATCATTCGCGTGCACAATATTAACGAGTCCAAATATGCTATAAATCGCGGAGGCGCGCATAAATAGCCGTTTAGTTTTCCAATAAAATCCTACATACACGACATGCAAGCGGCTACGAGGAACCGTTTTATTGTAATGGCTTATAATTCCAGTTAGCGGATTCCGGTGGGCGGCCGGTGACTATTGTCTCTGTGTAGAGGAGTGCGTGAGGCGCGCGCCCCGACTTCACTCGCTCCTTCGTATTCATGCGACGTACGCTCGTTACTCCTCAATGGCCCGTATCGTATGACGACAGAGACGACATCTTATAACGGATCTATGTTTTCTTTACATTTGTACTGCGAATGTCCACCGCTACATCCTTTATTCAAATTAACCGACGCTGCAATTTAAATAAGTGCTTCAATTATTCTTTAAGAGAAGAGTAAATGATAAAAAAAAAAACTTGCAGGATTATCATAACTAACTTATTTACATTCTAAGTGCACGTGTTTAAATATGATTCTGTTTAAAATTAGGATAACTATTCAAGATCGCCTTTAGAATATTTAGGTAAGTTTTTTTGTTTTTTGTGCAGTGGTAATGGTAAACTGGCGACATGGGGCTGCATTATCGGCTTCGTAGTGATGATGTGTCTCGACGTGGGTCTCGGCTAAGTACAGCTTGCGCTTACGACCAGCACAAACCTCGCATCTACGACCACCAGCGCGCCACACCGGACAACCGTACATTTACTTTACCAAAGTATCATATTCCATATAAAATAACCAAATTGTAAATATGTAAATGTGCTAGTTAATAATTTTAAGATTGCTGGACTGTTTGTGTGATAGCTACACAAATACCTATAACCAAATCGCACAAAGCGAGCTGCAATGAGATCGATTGAATACTTGTTTTTCACAAATAAATTGTTCGTATTGTTTAATATTTGATTGAGACGAAAACTATATCTCCAGACAATGTAACATTCTATCTATTATGTGTAGAACTTTGGGGCTAGACAAAGTGCATTCGCTCCGAAGCTATAATAAACTTCAAAAATGTATAGAACTGATAATAACTTTTGATAAGTCGCGTGTATCCCGCGTCAGTTCCATACATTTTTGAAGTTCGCTATGGAATTGCTTCCTAGCGAATCTTTGTTTAGCCCGCTGGTTATTTATTTCTATATATTTTGACAATTTTTGACGATTCTATTACAGATATTAATAGTATGTTACTTTACTGATATATAAACACGGCTAAACACTCACGCATATTCGTCCGGTGGCGGCACCGACTAGTTTCGAGCCCATCGGGGGCCCTTCATCAGGATGAGTGGTACTGGTATTATTTCCGCGAAATGGGCTCGAAACTAGTCGGTGCCGCCATCGGACGAATATACGTGAGTTTTTAGCAGTGTTTATATATCAGTTTAGTATAATGTCTCAAGAAAGTTTGAATAATTTAATAGTATGTTACTTTGTTTAGGGACGCTGTTTTCATTTGAATCTGTCGAATAGAAAGTGGCATTGTTTTCGCTCGGTCCCATTGCTCAAATCCATACTCGTAGTTCAATTTTATTCCAAATTATTAAGAGTACAAGATTCGTTCTTACCATTAAGGTATACGTAAGTTTTGTTTTTTTTATATATTTATTAATTTTATTTGACCATGTTTCAATTTTAGTATTATATGACGATGAAGAGTGATATTGCAATACTTGTCAATTCCATTCAATGTTTTTAAGTTAATTAATTTAATGTAAAATTTACTGTAATTATACAAAATAATTTATTTCTATAGACAATAATTTACTTTGAATTATGAAAATGTTTTCTGTTTTTAATTGGCATTGTATGTAACTGGATTTATTTACTACTTAAGAAAAATTATATTAATTGTATGTAATATTTTTCTATTGAAATATAATGTTATAATACGAATATAAAAATACTTATTTCTCACCATTTCCATTATTTAAATCTGTTAGGTTAAGATAGGGAGTTTGCTATGATTATCCTAACTGCCAACTATTCGTTTGTTAACTCTTACTAAATAGTACCTTAGTGTATATTCCTCTACTCAACTATCTATACAAATATTGGAGTGTCTGTATGTCAAAAAAAACATATTTCAGAAAACATGATTTATTTGCCTTGGTGATATCTAAATTACAATTTGTCTGATTGCCTGTATATCTGCAAATCTGCGTTTGTTCTCTCTATCTACTGACTAACTTAGCCTGCGCTGACAACGTCGCAGGTAACGACTAGTGTTTATTATACTCTGAGAGCATCCCTAATTGACTACTTAAGTACAATGAGTAAGGCAGTTAATCTAACATATATAAATGAAGGTAAGTTACAGTTATGGACCACATTCTAGATACCATGACAAATCAACCCATTCACTCCCATTCCTATTCCACCCTTTTTCCTATAAGGAAAGGATGGGAAGTGGAAGTGGACTTTCCGGATGAGAGGATGCATTTAAAGGGAAAATATTTTCTTTCTGTGCATCCACTCCTCCGTCGAATAAAGGTAGGTTTGCGTATGTCTATGGGCTGCGGTCACTTCGCTATTTCAGCGATTTCAAGTGGCCGCTCGCTCGTTTGTCACCTTATGATAAAAAAAATCAAGGAAAAATCACATCTTAAGAAACGTAATTTTCGTAGGAAATGTCGAAATATATCTGTGATGTGAGCGCCATATTTGTTTTGTAATTTTTCTATTTATGTATACTGCGACGGTTAAAATCTATGAGCAAACCGCTCATTCTGTTAGTCGCAATAAAATTACACCTGCTCAGTGGTTCGCGGAATCAGGACGCCAGATGTTTGGCATAATAAAAATTACACCGCGCACTGAGTTTGTTCGATGAAAAAAATATAAGTATGACAAAGGAATCAGTTTTGGATATTACAACGATCACAATGTCTACACGGGTCGACTACCTGCAGCAAAATCTGTTACAACAAACTATCACAACTGTCTTAGCAATGAACCATATTGACCAGTGCGGTGCAACAGAAAAATCTAAGACGTCTTATTAATAATGTAGAAGATAGCAAATTAGAAAATTCAGAAGTAAAACTTTACGCTCGTCTTGTAGTTGTGAAAAATTCATTGAAACAGTAACCCTAAAGACACCGACAATAATTGAAATATAATGAAATAATAGAATTTTTATATATATGATAGCTGAATATAATAATTTTATTGAATAATTGTATTAGCGGAGTTAAAATAAAAACAAAATTAGTAAGCCTATGTGTACTTCCAGTCCATGTATGCCAAATTCCATTAAGATCCGTTTAGCCGTTCTGGAGATACCTTCAAACAAACATCAATCCATCCATCTAAACATTCCCATTTATAATATGAGTAAGATTTTTAAAATTGTCGTTACAGCCGACAATCAGGTAACCAAACATTTTGGTGTTGTTAGTACAATTTATAAATAGTTCTATATTTCGTTAGCTTTGATAAAAGTTGCATTGTAACATTGTTATCCAGTAAACGGAAAGGTGTTTGAGGAAAATCCCATGAATCAGGCATTCCGGGCGGTTTGCAGTCGCCGGATACATTATCAATGTACTGTGGTTATAGCACGAACAATACGTGCGCAGGATTGATAATTTGTACGTTATTCCCACTACGTACATGTTACAACATAACCTAAAAATCTATACCAGAATGGAACTTTATGGAATCTGATATTTCTGCCTAAGTTTTTTTTTTGTTGAAAATAATGAAATTTTAAAGAGTGCGAGTTTACGTTTTTATTTTAGTTTAAGAACATCAGTGTTTTGGTCCAAATAAAGTTCAAAGACTTTGACGGTTATTAATTGAAAAAAATATTTATAAACAAGACTGACTGTAGCCCTTTGACACTACGGGGAATAATACAATTCGAATGACATCTTTGAAGATCGATCTTTGAAGATTTTTGAAAATCGGCTCAGTCGTTAAGGCTCCAGGCGGTCCTAATGGAACATACGAACCCCGAAAAATGTTACCTTCCTGAGTCAGCCTGGTAATAAATGGATTTAGGAAGAAAAGAAACTACCGTGACGTGATTGTTACATGTTTGTTTTGTACATGTCAGCCATATGTTTATTATAATTTCTTAAAAATATATAAGTAAATTACTTGTGATAAGTTCTAGAACAAAGTTTGTGTTGTCTGGTGGAGAGAAGGACTCGGATGCCACCGTGGGTGTTTAATCGGCGCGCGCGGCGCACGCACAAGAATTCGGGTGTTTGGGTGCCCGCGCCCGCCGCCTGTCGCCGGGGTCAATGGCCGCTAAGCGCCGCGCTTCCTGCCCTATACATTTTCTAGTGCAATCCTTATGTCGACGTACCTTTTTGACTATAAATACATATACAATAATTTTAATGTGAAACTTCAAAATTTTATAAAAAAATGTTTAGTGACGAGTTGCTGAAGTATACCTATCTATTGTTGGTAACAAAATATAGCAACCATCACACTGATGTCCCTAAATAAAAGTTGAACCTTGTATGTATGTTTTAAATCGGTAGTCAATATAATGTGTCCACTTAACGCATTGCGTCACCAGTAGGTACACGTTACTGCAACATTCCCCCAATGACCGGCCGCAGCCGCTGCCGCTGCGCACGAGTGAAAGTGTCGATATAAATTATAATAAATGCAGTATCAGTGTGACGTAGACAATGATGTGGGTGCGATACGGCGCGATGAGGGCGACGCGGGGCAACGGCAGTGCATGCTGCAGCGCGGCCTCATTTCCATTCATTCGGTGTTTGTTGACAATGTGCGGGGCGGCGGGAGGGGTGACGCGCGGGGTGCGCGGGCCTCGGTCGGGGGTTGGCGGGAGGGGTGCCCCGCGTACCGCTCCAGTCGACCGCGCGCGCCCGCGCCCCGCGCACGCTGCAGCTGCGCCCGCGCTGCACCGACGCCGCCTCAACGGCAGCCGCAGCCGCCGGCTGTGGGCACCACCGCACGTGCGCCTGTTTACTTCGCACGCCGCCTCCTCCGGTAAGTTATGCATGTCCTGCGCATTTAGTTTGGGCAAACGCGCTCATTTGTTTACACCTAGGCGTCGCCGGCGCCATTGTGCTATCGCAGCGATACAGGATTCACAAATCACGGACACCGTTAATCCGGGAGGCATTCGCATATTTGTAACGACATGCGAAATTGAGCTCTATTTTTTCCGTATGAGGAGTCATTTTGTCGTATCTTAGGGTGATGTTTCGGCGTGCAATTTAGTATGGTGAGGTTCGCGGAAAGCCGGCGTGGCGGCCGCAGTCGGGCGCTGCGCGCACGCACACCTGCCCTTCACGTCACGTCACGCCGGCGCCGCTGTTGCGTCTCGCGTCTCGCCCGACACTCACATGGTCACTATTATTTAATAACAATTATTACATCATTGTTACAATAAGCAATATGAATTCAACATTCTTCTTCTTAGCATTATGTTTCGTACTGATATTTTATCTTCTTGAGTTTAGGGAAGAAAGTTTTCAAAACAATTGTAATTATGGTATATTTACATATCCACTAATAGTCATTACCGTCTGTGTAACAATGAAAGAAATGTATATTTTATGTTTAGTAACAAATATTTCCGAGACATTTTGCAATAGATACTATGAATATCAACGCGTTAAATATCTATCGTTAATTTGTTGGTCTCGACTTGGCACAGTTTGGATTTTCCTCATTTCCCAAAGTTATGAATAGAAGACACGAAGGAAATAGTTTTCAACGCTGTTACACCGACCAGAAACTTAAAAATAAAACTAATCTTGGCAAACAATAGACAATCATGATAATATTATAACTCTTTCTTATTTACCTTATTTTTATTTCGTTTCGTGCTTATTATTTTAGATAAGTTCTTAATAAAAACATTTCTCTCCCCTCGTCCTAGTCCGCCAAAAAGCACAACAATGAAATGTTTTATCGTTTCTAACATAGATTCAGTTTTACCAAATGTAACTAGTACAAGGACATTTTGTGGCAGAAATATTCTCGGCGCCTACTACATCGAGAATACATTAAAATAAACGAATATAACAATTGACGTGTGACTTGGTCTCTCATACATAATCGATGCTCGAGCTGCGGCGCTTCTTCCACGAATTACAAATCTGACAATTCGTGTCCTGTTACATAACACATTTTTTTTTACAAAATTATCTACTTCCCCAAAAATTCCCCTTTTACATAAAGCACACAGAAACGTTTTGCATTCATATAAAAAACTAGTTGTAGCCTCCGAGTCTGTCCGCGTGTAATTAAAACAAAACATGAGTAGTTGCCTATGTGT